GTGTTGACACGTCAAACATGCTGGCTTTGAGTTACGCGTGTACCAATCAAGTCTTACCTCTCGGAAGTACTCCTTTAGGAAATTCAATATCACAAACCTAAGTCCTCGTTGACAAAGACGATAACAAACGCCCCACCCCAATTGACAAAGACTATCCCACCAATCCCACCCCAAACCACCCCCAGTGTATACCACCCCAACACCACCCCAATTAACAAAGATGATAACACCCTCTTCGCTCCAATTCACAATACCCTTTTGCTCCCCTTTTCCGCCCAAAACCAAACAAAATACAAAACAAAAGAACGAGGCCACAGGGGCCAAGCATCCGCAGCACGAATACCCTTCTGCTTCTCTCTTTTACATGGCTCAATTAACAAAGACGAAAACACCCCCTCCCCCCTATATATTGTGCCCAAGATTACCCTTCTGCTCCCATCTTTTCTATCTAGGCACAAGCTAGCTAGCCAAATTCAATCTGGCTGTCTCACTACTCTCTCCCTGAGGAAATTCAATATCAATACCCTTAATCTGCTCCGATCTTTTCCATTGATCCTCTCAAGCTAGCTAGATCAAGGTTGTTTACACCATAATCAACCGAGCATATCCAGCCTCAAAACAACTAGCACAAAGGCAGACATGCCTTCTCCCTTGCCGAAGGAAGACACTCTTCCGAGAAGCCAAGCACCTGCCGAAACTCCCGACTGCCAAAGCTCACAAACTGCTAAACCTAATTTCTATGATACGTGTCACCACCGCGGCGACTTGCATTAAGTCTCATATCTTAAATCTACACCAACCTCCCGCTTTCACTTCCCTATAAAGAAGGCACAATACCCTAGTAAAAAGAGTAACTACTTTTCTACCTTTTACTATTACTCTGCAAAGGTTACCTTTCTTAGCTGACTTAAGCATCGGAGAGCCTTCGGCCGGCACCACACCGGTGTCCGAAGCTTAACGACTGCTTCTCCCATTTTTGTCTTCTGCATGCTAGCCTTTATTGAAGGTCCAGACCTGCTGATCCTGCT